ATTGAAGAACAACAACTTGGCTGGTCCCTCTCTCCCAATTGCCCAATTAAAAAAAAAGTAGTGCAATGGGGCAGTGAGCTGTGCCTGAGCTGATCTGCCACTGAGCTGCCAAAAGCCAGCAGGATGGCTCAGTTGGTGAGAGCATGTGCTACTAACAACAAGTGTGCAGGTTCGACTTCCACATGGGATGGTGAGCTATGCCCGCTTACAGCTAAGATTGAACATGGCACCTCGAGCTGAGCGGCCGCCAGCAGCATACGGGCGGCCAGATGGTGACTGGACTTGGAGATGAGCGAGCTGCGCCCTCTGCAACTAAGATTGAAAGACAACAACCTGGCTGTTACCCTTCTCCAATTCCCCAATAAAATCTTTGGAAAGAAATAAAAAACAAAGCCCCTAAATTTGGGCTTATACACAAGCCTGTTCCTTATCATTGCCCTATACCTTAGAGAAAATGTAAAACGAGGAAATCAGACTTAAAAAGAACTCTGGAAGTTGTCAGGAGACTTCTAAGTCCTGGCTCTAATTGCTGCCCATTACTTTGGATTCTGACCTCAATTCTGTTATTTCCCATGTTGTTAACTGGTGACAGCTTCCGCAGGCACTGAGGAATTATGGGAGGACAGCACCTCCCTCAGGCGGACCCCTCTACATAGTATAGCCCCAGAAAGCTTGGGGACCAAGTAGTATTAGAAGCTCAGAGGGGTAAGGGTCCCTGACTAGTTAGCTCCTAAATGGAAGGGGCCCTTTGCACTTTTCCAAGCACTCCAACTGTTATTGGGCTTCAGAGAGTCAGTGGCTGGGTCTACTTCATTTAAGTCTCCACAGGACTCCCCCAGAAGGAAGGCTGTCACTCCTCTTCCTGTGAGCTAATGGAAGACCTTACGCTCCTCTTCAAACAGAACTGCTGGAGCTGCTCATTATTGTCTCTCCACTTGTGCCCCACCTGAGATACCCATTAAATGCCTTTTGGCTCTCCTCTTTCCCAGGCTCCTCTATGAAAAATAAGAAACTAATATCTTTGTAAAATATTTCTGATATAATAGCTAGGTGCAGAAGCCTCTCTGACTGCTAGATATGCCATAAACAGTGCCCTCCCAGCTATGATAGGTTACCGAGAAATTCTAGTGCCCATAGGAAGGGATGATGCCCACTCTCAGCAGGAAGCAGCTAAGAACAGTCATTGTCCCCTATACTTGCAAACATGCTAATTTTATAGAAATAAAATGAGTGAAAGACAGGGGTAATAGAAGCAGAGCCTGGCTGGTCTCCCCACAGTAGAGGCCTCTCCATGTCCCGGGCCTCACCATTCCTTGACCTATAGCTTAACAATAGATCATCTCCCTGCAAATTGAACTCCAAATGTCCCCTGTCCCACCAGTTCCGTTTTAGAAAATTACCCTGAAACTTATGATTAATACCCATAGGATTACTAATCACAATCTCTATGGTCTAGCATTCTTTCCAGGCTACTCGCATCATTGTACCTGGGTTAATGATTCCATGAGTGACTCATGATGCCGGAGGAAAGGCTCCATGCAGACCCCCAGAACTCACAAAGCCTCTGGAGGACCACCAGGGTTTTCCCTTAAATACCCCAAGCCGGTCTGAGAATGTTAAGGCAGTTTTTGGAATTGTTAACCCTCTGACTTCTCAGACCACTTGTGCTGTGATAATAAACACTTATTCTATAATCCAACTCCTGTGTGATCTATTGGCTAGGCAGCGCAGGCAGCACGAGCCCCAGACTCAGGTGGCCTTTGGTTTCAACCCAAGACCAGGACTAGGCCTGTGTAACCAAGACCATTTTTGTTCTTTCCTTCCTTCACTTCATTCCTATCTCACAAATAATGAGAGGCCAAGCACTCACTATAATGTTATTCTTTCTTTTCTCCTTTAATTTCTGCCTGTAAATAAAACTGAACATGGGGCATCATCACTAAACCGACTTCACAGGACAAAATGTGGAACTGGTTGCACACAGTCAATGCCCAGCAATGATATGAGATTTGAAAGAATACTTTTTCCATTGGCACATATTGCAATACATAAATACACGATTAGTAACATCTCAAAAAACTTAGAGGAATTGCTGGAGCTACCACCAAAGTAGGGGCCAATAAGGAAAAATCAATAAATTCCCTTGCATGACATGTGTTAGACAACAGAGTGGCTCTTGATCATCTACATAAACAAGGTAGGATTTGCAATTTTCTCACGGATCCTCTCTTCACTTTAGTTTACATATTGAAACATGTCAAAGCAGCAAGCTACAGAATTTCTGAGCCAAGGGACAGGATGGGATTTCATACCCATTTTAACTCTTTAACTGATTTAACTCATTTCCACTGATGAAAATTGCTCAGTATCCCAAGGGCTTGCACAGCGTCACAAATGGAATTCATAAGGATTCCCTAACACCTGCAGTCAGGATACAAGGCTTAGTTTTTGCCTATACGCATGTTTTATGGTCAAAGAACTCCTTCTGCTTTGCTTATTTTGTCCTGAGAAGCATTGGTACCCACGTCCCAGTTTCCCATTTCTCATCAATCCACAGTGTTGGGATACAGACCCCAGAGTCACTACATTAGAACTGCCCTGCTCAGCATGGTCCTGCCACAGCACAGGTGTCCAGCTGGCTTCCCCTCAAAGATGCTGTTACCAAACAGGGGTCTCTCTAGCTGCCTCCTGGGACACCCACCTTCTGGGAAATCTCAAACTGCTTTTGACAGGACCCACATAGTACATCCCATCAAGACACACAGATTCCTCAAAACCTTTCCCCAAAATTTGTCAATACCCTATAAATAAAGAGGCCCTCCAAGGCACCAAGCCCATCATAAAAGATGATAAGGTTCAGGATCTTATTATCTCCTGTACAGATCCATAAGGCAGGGAGGAGAGAGGACCATTCATGTTTAGGGCTCAGATAACATTCTCTTGTGGAGGAGGAAGTGGTATTGGGGAGTGTCCTCTGGACATGTGCCAGCAAAGAGGGAAATCGGGAAAGGCCTGGGTCCCATATCACTAGGCCTCCGCCTCTGGGGTTCAGCCAGTTGGTGAAGTCAGTTCTACCTTGTGGATACCTGACTGGGATGAAATGAAATACTATTCCAACCATAATTTTTAAATATTTATTTAAGGGGACATAATATTCTAAATATTTTAGCAAACACAATATTTTCCCAAAAATATGATTAAAGGACTTGCTTTCTAGTGTAAGCTATTACAAAGGAAGATCAAATATTATCATGATCAAAATGAATAAAAGGATGGTTTGGTAAAAGCAAAAAGATATCAGAAACATTAATATTGGACAACGGAGCCAATCTGAATAAAGTTCAGCTGACTTTATCTCAGATCATTTGACTATCAAAACAAAATGAAACAAGAACACTACTTAAGGATTATAACAGATTGCATGAAGCAAGAATCAGAGTCTATACAAGCAAAAATCTAAAATACTGTAAAAAGGAAACCTGTTGCATACCATGATGAGGACAAGAAAAATAATGGGGGAAATACCATCATTTTGCAACTATGGTAAAAATTGATTTGGGCAATAATCAGAAATAAATGCTAAAATTTGTGAAACCTTGAGAATTACAAAGACATAGGTATAGCATGAATGTATCTCAAGACACTTAATGACTTTTTTGTGAAGAAACATGGAAGATACCACATTTACCAAATAATCCAATTTAATATCGCCATTCAGGAGACCTATTAACAGCATGTTCGTCCTGGTCTGATGTACTGATAACTCCTCAACACTTATTTGTATTGCTACAAAGGGTATATAATCTAAATGTAATAAGAAAACATGAAACAAATCCTGTTATTTACATGATTAATAATAAGGAAGAGCTATGGTTAATACCTACTAATCATTCAGGATGTTTGTTGTCAGGAATTCTCTCCATGTCACTTTTCTGATACATACCCACTTGTCACTTTTCACCGAGGTCACAGTCATAGCTGAGGGATGTCTAAGACAGGTCAGTAACAGGTAGATCCAAACCTATAACAGTTCAGCAGAAAACAAGTTTTTTCTTCCTTGCAAAAGTCACACTGTCAGGGGAGGGAACAGTTCCACACAGTAATTCATGAACCCCGACCCTTCCATCGTCATTGTAGGTAAAAGGAACAGCAGACAATATATCGGATGAAAATGTCTTCATGGGGCTTCTTTTACCACTGACAGTCATATTCTACTATCTAAAAGTTGGTGATACAATGCCACATTCAGATGAGAGTGGTTTGAAAATTTAGAAGAGCTGTGGGCCTAAGGACAACAGGAAATGGTTACTGGTGAACATGCAGTATACGGGATAGGGGGCTCCATTTATTAGATTTTTCATATATATATATATATATATATATATATATATATATATATATATATATATGATTTTCGGAAAAGTCATGATGCAGTTTTGCAATGAAAAACATACAAAAAATATGTCATGACTTTTCTGACAACCATATAGCTAGCTAGCTAGATAGATAGATTAAATAAAATTGTGGATTGATTTCTGGCAGGATTTCCCAAATCTGTTACCTTCGTAAGATTTCTTTCATCTGGTTGATATACTATGAAGTTTCTACTGCTCTATGCATTTTCTGCTGTACTGAGAAGGATGGCTTTTTCTTGTAGTTATCACACATTTATCGCAGTCTATATTTTCTTCATTGTGAATTCTCTACTCAGTGAGATTCAATCTTTGACAGAAAGGTTTAAAGTTTTCATTACACAGTATTTCTCCACAGTGGAAGTTTGCTGACGGTTCAGTTCATACAGAATATTTCCTATATTCATTACCTTCACAATGTTTCTTTCACCAGAGAATTCTCGGATGTCCACAAATAACTAAACTTATCCTTAGTGGCTGAAACACTGTCTATATACATTTCAAGGGTTTCCTTCCAGTGTTAAGTTCTTGCTACAGACTGAGTATTTGCCTGCTCCCAAATTTATCTGTTGAAATCTAATCCCCAAGGTGCTGGATTTGGACGCGGAAGCCTTTGAAGGTGATGAAGTCATTAGGGCAGAGCCCTTATTAAAGAGACCCTGAAGCGTTCCTCTGCCCCTTTCTCCATGTGAGGACACAGCAAGAAAATGGCCATCTATCAACCAGAAAGTGGGTCCCCACTGGACACAAAATCTGCCAGCACCTTGATCTTGGACTTTCCACTTTCTAGAACTGAGAGAAATCAATGTTTGTTACTGAAACCTATGGTATTTTTGTTATAATAGCCTGAGCAGATTAAGACAGTTCTCTTATGTTTAGTAAGGAGCTTCCTGGCCCCTTGTCTGAGTTCTGCAATCTTTTCTTGATGCTGACTTGCAAGTTTCCATACATTCAGCATCTTTATGGTTTCTGCCATGAGATCTCTGATGTTCTCAAAAGTGTAATTTCTGGCTGAAAGCATTCCACGTTCCATAACATTTACACATCTTTTCATGTTAGTGAGTTCTCTGATGTACTGCAAGATTTAATGTATGGATGAAAGTTTTCCATAAACATTACATTCATGTTTATTTTATGTGAGTTTTCTGATGCTCTTGAGGTTTGATTTCTGGTGGAAATCTTCCCTACCTCTATCACATTTAAAATGTTTCTCCCTGGTGTGACAAAGCGGATCAAAATATGCCACCCTAAACTATGCCACTTTGTCAAAAGGATGCTTTTGAGCCGAAAGCAACTGAAAAACAGTAGACACAGAAAGACATTTTCCCTTCCCCCACCATCTGCCAAAAGGCAGGGTCTAAATCTCCCTTCATAAAGGTGTTCCCCATCCCCTCTCCTGTATGCCCAAGAGGAGACAACTCTTATCATTGGAGAGGGCACCAACTAATATCTGCATAAACAAATCTTAATGAAATAACACTCTTCTCCCATTGGTTTCCAGTATATTGATTTTCATACAACTTACCATCCGTACTAGCTCTAAACATTTTTCCCTTGTGTGTTCACATCATTCCAAATGTACTGTCCTTTTGTTAAAATGTCATATACCCTCCAGATGTGATCACCAGTTTGGAGTTTTCATGTCATTTATGTGAGGCTCTCCCTATTCATATGAAAGAAATCTTTTCCCCCTGTTAATGTATTTTAGTTTGCAGGGCTCCAGCCACTGAAAGTAACAGAGTACAAGAAAAAGTTATTTATCCTGCTTTTACCTTTTTAAATCAGACAATTCTCTGATGACTTTGCCAGATTGCCACCTTTATAGGATGTTTTGTTTGTGAGTTTTCTGAAGTTTTCATAGGTGAGACTCATTACCGAAAGTGTGTAAATCACTACACTCCCGTGTGAATTGTCTCATAAGTTCAATTTTGAGAGTTAGTTTGCAAATAAAAGATTTTCTGCATTAGTTATACTCATAGCATTTTTTTTCCTGCAGGCATTCTCTGATGTGTTATGAGGACCGATTTCCAAAGAAAAATTTCATGAAATTTCATACATTCACATTTTCCGCTCTGTAAATTCTTTCATATTCCATTAGATATCACATGAACATGAAACTCTTCCAGACTCATAAGGTTTCTCTCCTGTGGTTGGCACTCTGATGTTTTCGAAGGTGTGACCTCTGCCTGAACATTTTTCCACACTGACTACATTCATAGGGTTTCGTCCCTGTGTGAATTCTCTCATGATTTCTAAGGCATGTCTTCCAGCTGATATCTTTTCCACATTCATTACATTGATAGGGTTTCTCCCGAATGCATTTGCTGATGTTTTTCAAGATTTGTCTTCTGGCTGAAAGCCTTTTCACATTCATTACATTGGTCATTTTTCTCCCCTGTGTGAGTTCTCTGATGTTTTCAAAGATCTGTCTTATGGCTGAAAGTTTTACCACATTCAATACATTGATAGGGTTTCTCCCGTGTATGAGTTCTCTGATGTTTTCCAAGATGTGACTTCTGGCTGAAAGTTTTACCACATTGATTACATTTATAGCTTTTCTCACCAGTGTGAGTCTTCTGATATAGTCTAAGTAGTGGTTTGTATGCATAAGATGTCCCACATTCCACACATTCATAGGGCCTCTTCTCCTGTGTGAGTTCTCCAATGTACATTCAGGTCTGATTTCCAGCAGAAAGTCTTCCCATATTCATTACATTGACAGGATTTCAAACCACTGTGAATTCTCTGATATCCTCTGAGGTGTAATAAGGAGATGAAAGCTCTGCCATATTCATTACATTCGTGGATTTCTCCCCTGTGTGAATTCTCTGATGTCTTCTTAGGTGTGACATTCAGGTGAAAGTTTTCCCACATTCATTACATTCATAAGGTTTTCCCCGTGTGAGTTCTCTGATGTACTTCAAGGCCTGATTTCCGCCTGCAAGTTTTCTCACATTCAGTACATTCATACGGTTTTTCCCATGTGATTTCTCTGATGTACTCTGAGGTGTGACATGGAGGTGAAAGCTTTTCCACACTCATTACATTCATACGGTTTTCCCCGTGTGAGTTCTCTGATGTACGTCAAGGCTTGACTTCTCAGTGTAAGTTTTCCCACATTCACTACATTCATAGGATTTCTCCCCTGTGTCAGTTCCCTGATGTTTTCCAAGGCTTGATTTCTGCATATAACTTTTACCACATTCATTACATTGATAGGTTTCTCTCTCGTGTGAGTTCTCTGATGTACAACTAGGGACAATTTCCAGGAAAAAGCTGTCCCACATTCATTACATTCATAAATTTTCTTACCTGTGTGAGTTCTTCGATGTAAAATGAGGGATGAACTCCTACAGAAGGATTTTTGACATCCTTTAAACTCATACTATTGTTCCCTCCCGAGAGTTCTCTGCTGTATATGAAAGAGTGACTGAGAACTGAAGCTTTCCTTGCGTGTCTTATTATCACAAGATTGATCTATTGTGTGAGTTCTCTGTTGTATATTATGGGATGAATTGTAGCTGAAGTTTTTCCCACACTCAAGGATTGCCTTCCGGTGTGAGTTCTTTGATATTCTCTGAAATGTGCTTTTTGACCAAAGTTTTCCCTCTTGTATCAGTTCTCTGAAGTTGAGCGACCTTCCTAAAACTGTTCCCATTTTTATCACATTTAATTTCAAAAAATGCACAGTGACTGTTCTCTGTGTGAATACTTTCAGAGACAACAAGGGCTGATTCATCATGTAGGTTTCCTCTAACTTTATGATTCCTCTAAAGTTAAAAAAAGATCTCTAATTTGTGTAAGCACTGTTCCGTTTAATGAAGGCAGCCTTATCATGCAAAGCATTACCATGTTTATTACATTCAAAGGACTGCCCCAAAGTAAGTTCCTCCACACAACTAAAAGTTTGCACATACTAATTGTAATAAAAAAAACTTGTCTCCGGTATCTGTTCTCTCATTTCTAGTATTGGAATGAGATACATTAAATTAATTCTGAGTCATTATGAGGAGCCAATAGGTAGAGATCCAAGTATAAAGACCTCTCAGTGTCGCATGTAGAGGATTTTTTTCTTGAAGAAACAATGTCTGTGCCCAGATTAAATGGTTTTCCTGAAACTTTCTCTTGCTCTGTAGTCAATGGTTTGTTGGTGGTAAGTGAAACTTGACATAAATACTTGTCTTCATTTTCCTGGCTCGTCTCTAAAAGATCATGTCGGCAGTCTTCTAAAAATGAGAAAGTTAAAAAATTCCTTATGAAATTTAACATATTTTTAATGTCAAAAGTCATAGACATTTGGCCTACTATATGTTTCACATTTTTATTTCATGCTAAGTCTTCCAACATTGTGGTAATTTCAAGTATATATTAACTATATTCTCTTTCCTTGGGAGGCAGGAGGCAGGCTGTAAGAGAAAAAAGGAAAAAGAACTTCGAGGTGAATAGCATATGTATTTTGGCATTTTAAAATATAATTTTTAAACTTGGGCATAAAAGAGCTAAACGATTAATTGGGAACATAAGGGTTTTCACAAAGTTGGATCACCGGGATAGAAAAAAAAAATCAGAGAATGGTATGAACTCAACACCACCACCAACAACAACAAAATGGTTCTGTGTTTTGAGGGGTTCCAGCAGACAAAGGGTTTGGGTTACGGAGATTACCAGGATCTGGGTCCTAAACTATCAAATGAATATTAAAATGTAAAAATACTCCTCAGTCTGTATGCTTCCATTTGGAGGTTCTCCTTTTTCATTCTACATATCAATACCAAAATTAGTTTATAATGAAACAAATTTCCTCATATAGGCCAAATTTTCAGAAATTTAAAGAAACAGTCATCAAACCCAAGCTCTGATTCTCTGGTTATCATTCTTTGGAACACAATAGCCCAAGAGGAAGTGTAAAAGTTCCTGGAGAAAAAGCCATCTTTCCACCTGGATAGGATTCATTGCTCTATTTTGGCTCTGGTACTTTGGTTTTTATTACTGTTGTTTGAGACTAAATCATTTTTAACCAGAAAATCCTAAGTATCTGCTTTTTACAATGCTCACTCATGTTCTTAAAACCAGTTTTAACCATGTCCCATATTTAAGTCTGCTTTCTATATACTTTTTAACATACCTGGTTTCTACCAATTGTGAGAACCTTAGGGATCACATTTCTCTACCTAGTCTCATAAACTTTGGAAATATCCTTTATGTTTAGCTATCATTAAAAAATATTGTAGGTCAGCCGAGTGGCAAGTTGGTAAAAAGTTGGATTGGGACGCCAGCTGTGAGCAGCAGGGCCCCAGCTCAGATGCCATATGAGGGCCAGTGACGCTGCACCCTCTACAGTGGAGATGGTGAACAATGGTTCGACCTGGAGCTGGGTTGCCATGAGTTGTCGGCAACGGCGTAGGCTGCAGTGGGGCTGCCCAGCAGCTGGCATGAGGTTTCATGAGCTGCCATGAGCCACCATGAGCGGCCGTCCAATGGCCAATGAGCAACTGCTTCACCCAGGCAGAGCGCAATGATAATCCCAACATGGGCCAGTGAAGTGACGTCCTCCACAAATAGACTGAAGAACAAAAACACAGCACTTGTCTGATCCCCTTCCCCAATTCCCCAATGCTGTTCCCCTCCCCCAATTCCCCAATAAATTTCTAAAAAATAAAACATAAAAAAAATTAAAAGATTTGGCACTCACAAGTTTCACACAAAATATCCCCCACGATTGAGAGGCATAGGTGATCTATGTAATACATTGAAGCAATCACAGAGTGACCGACAAAGGAAGAAACAAAGAAACATGTCCCAAGTAAAAGATCAGAAAAAATCTCTAGAAATGGAACTAAATGAAATAGAGGTATCCAACCTTTCAGAGACAGAATTTAAAACACTGATGATAAGAATGTTTAAGGAACTTAGTGAGGACATAATGAAGGATAGAGAAATCATAAAAAACAACCAGTTAGAACTAAAGAATACAATAACTGAAATGAAAAACACACTCGAAGGAATCACCAGTAGATTAGATGAAGCAGTATCAGATCAGTAATTTTGAAGACAAAATAGCAGAAATCACCCAGTTGGAAAAACAAAAAGAAAAAATAATAAAAAACTGAAAATAGTTTAAGAGACCTGTGGGACAACATCAAACGCAACAACATTCGCATCATAGGAATACCAGAAGGAGAAAAGAAGAAGCAAGGGATCGAGAACGTATTTGAAGAAATAATGACTGAAAACTTCCCTACCCTGGTCAAGGAAATCAACATACAAGCCCAGGAAATGCAGAGAGTTCCAAACAAGCTGAACCCAAACAGGTCCACACCAAGACATATCATAGCTGTTAGTCTTATAGGATTTCCTTTCTATGTAACCTGATGTCTTTCTCTTGCTGCTTTTAGGATTCTGTCTTTGACTTAAACCTTTGTCATTTTAACTGACTTTTCTACACAAACTCTGCTGGTCAGAAGGGAGTGGCAGGAAATATTCAAAGTGACGCAAAATAAAAGCCTACAACCAAGATTGCTCTACCCAGCATGGCTATCACTTAAAATTGAAGGAGATAAAGAGCTTCTCAGAAAAGAATAAGCTTAAGGAATTCATTACCACCAAGCCAGCATTGCAGGAAATGTTAACAGGGCTTTTTTAAACAGAAGAAAGGGGAAAACAAGCTAACCCAGGAAGATCAGAAATACAAATAACAAAATGGCAATAAATATGCACCGATCAATAATCACTTGAAATGTGAATGGGCTAAATGCTCCAATCAAAAGTCATAGAGTAGATGAGTGGATAAGAAAACAGGACCCATGCATATGCTGTTTACAAGAGACTCATCTCAGATCAAAACACACACAC